GTCCTGAAGAACGGTCCGGAGCGCAGGCGGAGTGTTTAGCTAACCTGCAGCAGGAAATGTCGACGATAGTTATCCAGAAAGTAGCTAAGGGTTACCAGAGATGTTTCTGAGGTGTTCGCTAGGTACTTTTAAGATTTAAAAAGTCAAGAAGGGGGTCTGAAAAGCTGTTGGAAATAGCATCAAAGTCGCTAAGTTGGCAACGGAGCGCTTCATTTGTAACTCAGGGCAGCTCAAGTGGGAGGAGCAAATAATCGGCTTGTTTTATTTTTATAATCGTTCAAAACATTTCATTCGGAATATATTTCTATGTCGATGTTCAGAATACGACACCTGATAGTCTGAAAAAAATAATACCTAACTTGGAAAAAATAATACCTCTGAGACCAAATTTAACACTTTTAATGGCCTTAAATTTGACTATTTTTATTTATCACTTTTTAATACTTTTTAAAACCCCGCGGACACCCTGTGTTATGATTAGTAAGTTTTAATAAGTAATATGACTTTAACCTAGCTGCACTAGACATCCGGATACACGTAATGTAAACGCATGACACATTGCTTTTACTCATCCAACCAGAACCTTCCTTCCTGAAGCGTGGTATAGTCTCTGTGGTGTTTATAAATCTGCCCAACTTTGATTCAAACGTAAATCAAAACATCCAGATTAATAAAACCAGTCTCCACGCCATCTTAGTTCAGTTCACCGCATTCTAAGAGAAGTATCGGACCGGCCACCCGGACTTCCTTTTAAGCAAAGAACCAACAAGCTGGATAAAATCAGTTGCATTTTACCGGAAATTACGGTGTGTGTGTGTGTGTATATATATATATATAAGAACTACGGGCAGTTTTGGAAGATCGCCATCGCTTTATAATCCTTAACGATCTTATATCGTCAGGTCACAGAGACCTACTTGCAACTTCTCCATTTACAGACAACACAGAACAGAGCAGCTTTCCGCTAACCAGAACCGCAAACAACACCTTCCACCCACTGAACTGGCCTTCAGAATAAAACAAAAACACAAAAGTTGTTAGTTTATTTGTTTTTGCTTTCCTACACTATTTAGAGTGTTTAGAGCTTTAAATGCTTTAAATTTGTTAAGATTGTTACTGATAGCAGCTACATTGTGATGCTTTGTGCTTCAGCATGTAGGTGTAGGTTCTCAGTCATCCTGGACTTAACCCTTTGGGCGCCAGAGTTATTTCAAGAAATTATTAAATTTTGACAAGACTATTTCAAAAGGTTGTAGCTTGGAAGTGGTTAGAGATAAAGGTAAACTGTGAATGTGAAACATTTTCAGTAGGACCCAACGTTTGTGTTGGGAGCAAATTCACTCATCACATTTGCATATTATGACATCATCAGGCTGCCATATTAGAATACATCATTTTTACAGATGTTCCCTCTTTTACATATTATATTGAAATGTTCATTATATTTAAAAAATTGTACATATACAAAACTTTTTTTTTAATTACAACATAACATTTTATTTTGACGATTATGTGACACACTTTGACTTCCATACACAACGCATTGACATCTGCTGCTTTTTACGGCTTTTTTTTCTTTTACATTAGCGCTACGCCTGTCACATTAGTGTCGTGTTTACCATCATTTCTACATCCATGTCCCAAAGACAGCGAAACAAATGTCAAACCCGACGTTAGGAGCTTGTAAGTGCAGCAACAGCTGCCTGATGCTGCAGCAGCTTCAATCTGTCCAGCTGGATAAGTGAATTTTGTTATCAATCAATTTTTTGCTTCGTAATCGCAGTTGGTCATTACCAGATAAAGGGACCAATCGACAAAGATCAGACCCGCCAGTAGGGCTGCTCAATTAATCGAATTTTAATCACGATTACGATCTGAGTTTTGAACAATTATAAAAAACAAAACAAGCCGATTATTTGCTCCTCCCGCTTGTGCTGCCCTGAGTTGCAAATGATGCGCTCCTCCCTGACAGTGTTGCCAACTTAGCGACTTTGAGGCTATTTTTAGCAGCTTTTCAGACCCCCTTCTTGACTTTTTAACTTAAAAGTACCTGGCGAACACCTCAGAAACATCTCTGGTAACCCTTAGCTACTTTCTGGATAACTGTCGTCGACATTTCCTGCAGGTTAGCTAAACACTCCACCTGCGCTCCGGACCGAGTAAAAATTTAAGAGGAATTAAAAAATCGAACCATTCGATGATTCATTTCAGCCCTAAATGAATTGCAAACAAGCATCAAAATCACCTTGTTAAAAAAAATCACTAAAATTCTTTGGTATTTGATCAGAGCTGTAGCGAAGCCTCGACGACGTCGACGGCTCGATTCTAAAAATTTGTTGACGTCAGATCCAGAAGTCGACGCACCGCGCCCACTTGTTGCATCCCCAGGAGTTTGTGAATAGAGGACGAATCTGCCTGTTTTTCCTCTAGTTCGCCCTCTTCTCCGCCTTCACTAACATCTCCGCCAAATACCGAAGACCCGGAACAACGTCCGTCCACTACTAGATTATTTTCCTGTTTTGCCCCTTCGTCTCCCGGCAACGGACAACAACTTCCGGGGTCAGATGCGCTGCTCCGTCTCTACCGCAGATGTAGAAAATCACCAGGAGCGCTTCTCCCTTCATTAAGGAGCTTCTTTCAGACATGAGGAGAGCGGTTTTGGTGGTAGCAGTCTCTCCTCCGTGCTGGTCTGTTTGCTGCTGGGTGTTTTTGGTTTATTTAAACTTGGTAACTTGAACTTAACGTTGGTAAAGCTACTGTTAGCATCTTCGCTAACAGCTTCTTGTGTTGGGATAAGCTGTTACGTTTTGGTTTAGAGTTCATCTTTTTTGTGGTGTAGATCTCCCTTTTATTACATTTAGAGTGTTGTGGGTTTTCGGTTTAGTGTAAAATATCACCTGAGTTTGGTTTAACCCGTAAGACCACTCGCCTCACGCACATAAGTGACCAAAACAAAGCAGCATGGAGACACTCCATCTTCTACCACCTCTCAGGCAGCAGCCTGCACTCCCAAGTTCTACATGTCACCAGAACATAACCAACCAACACAATAAACGCAGTGGTATACAAAATGGAAGGCCTGTAGTGTTTATTCTCTTACAGTAAGAATTTATCAATTTTTTTGAGGAATTTATTTGAGATTTTCTGGTTTTTGTTAATTGTGCAATAGAAAAATAATCATTAGATTAATTTTCTAAATAGTCATTAGAATAGTCGACTATTCGATAAAATAATCGTCAGAATAATCGTTTTAAAAATAATCGTTTACCCCCAGCCCTATATTTGATACCATCCAAGCCAAAACTGTAAAAATGCAACCAGAATGATTTTGAATGGTGAAAAATAAACAATGTACTGTATGTATAAATGCAAATATTTAAAACAAAGACATCAGAAACACTTAGTAAAACACAAAATGCAGAGATGAAGCTCTCACACATTGACACTTTATATCTACACTGATTATTTCATCTGCTCTGTTTGGCTTAAGAGTCTTGGTCAAAAGCCGATCAGGGCAAAGTATTAAAGTGATCTTCCCTCCTTTACAACTGAAATGAAATACAACTAAAGGCAGTAAACACATTCCATTTCTCATCACTACCATCTGTTCCCATTTTACCCTAAACAAGCACGTCATGTGCAGCTCCACAAACCATCCTTACCTTGCTGGGGTGGATGCCGACATGGACTGTGGTTCCGTTGGCCTTCTCTCGCTGCACACGCTCAATGTAGATGACATATTTCTTCCTGTAGACTTGCACTACTTTGCCAATCTGCTGGCCTTTGTAGTGTCCACGGACAACCTGAGGTAAACAAAAACTCAGTTCAACTAAAGTTTCCTTCTGCATAACCTCACAGCTTAACACTAGTAACTGGCGTACCTGGACTTCGTCATCTTTTCGAATGGGCATGGACCTCACGTTGTACTTCTGGCGGAGCTCCTTAGACAGTGGGGAAGACATGATCTTCCTCCTGATGTGTGAGGGGGCATTGAAGTGCCTCTTACGGTTCTTGCGACGGGAGGATGTTACAAATGGATTAAGCTTCATGATGCTGTTAGAGCAAACACAGGTTGTACTATCACTCGAAATTGCATCATTTTATGTCAAGCTTACACGTTCTTCCTTGACAGTTATATCACTCCCGACTCCTAGACTTGAGAATGACCATCTCATGATTACCATCTAGTGCACACAACGTAGCAGCATACATAGAATGCTTAAACTTAAGCTCCGTGTAAGCACAATTTCCAGAAAGAAAGTGGTTAACGTAATTATAAGTTACGCTAAAGTTTAACGGACAAGGCTAACACGCTAACACGTTAGCAACAGCGCTAAATTTGCATAATGTAGCTGACTAAAATTGTTTATTTTGACCGAAGGGTAACTCAACGACAACAATGAACGGCTAGAGACAATAAATGTCAGAAGAAAGACAAAATGCATACGGTCTGAGTCGCTTTAACCAGAAACCAAGTGGTTTCAGGAACGCTAGCAAGACATGCGGATAGATACGGACCAAATGTTGATATTTAATAATCTATCGCCAAGATGTGATCAATATTGTCAGTGGTTTAACTGTACTGATGTTTGCGTTGAGCTGATGCTTTTATACAGGGATGTGATGACTATAAAGAGAGGATGGATGGTGATTACTGTGGTAGAATTATCTTTCAGGAATTCTTACCCTGCCTTTGCTCCTCTATGGCCGGCGGAAAAGAGACCTACTGTGTTCTTCCGGTTGCATTAGTCACACGAAAATCTCGCGAGACCATAAAGGTCAGTTTAAAATCATAAACACGTAAACAAAGCCCAAAACGTCCCATCGAGGGGCGTGTTTACTATTTTAGCGATAATGAAGAGGTACAATCTTAATGAAACAGACGCCTTTATCTTGATTTTAATTTAATATTTTCTGGTTTTGTGTCATTATTGAACATTTAATAATAATTTGTCCAACACTTTGTATAGCTAGTCCAGTTAAATTAAGCTATTTGAATATTTCAAATATTAGAGTAGTTTAATTTATAACTCTTTATTGATGCCACATTACAACCTTGAGTCCAATAAAAATAGACACAAGATGGCGCCAAACGTCATTAATCGATAAGCTGCTGGGGAAACAAGTTTAGTTTATGATTAATAGTTCCTCTGCTCAGCACTGCCTGCCTTATCTGAGGCCGAGATCTCCGTAAACAGCTGCAGTCGCTCCTCTCTCTCTCAGATCAGCTGACAAACACCAGAGGGAGTTTTCACCCTCCGACCACACAACCACTGACCTCCCAGCTGTGCGGACTGAAACCAGCCCCTGTCCAGCTTAGACAACTCGGTCACAGACCCGAGGAGTAGACTCCCCGGGCGGCCAAAGCCTCCCTGCCTCCGGAAAGTGATGCCGACATGCTGTCATAGCCCCCCTGCGCCGCGGACATTCAGCCTCCTTCCCCTCCCGCACCTCCCTGGATCCTCTCTGGCTGGCTGTCGCGGCAGCGGTGCGGATGTGGAGCCCGCAACGCAACGTTCTCCATCCGTCGGCAAGCACCGGAGAAGATGAAATGTTTTTCCCGTTACCTCCCGTACATCTTCCGCCCTCCGAGCACCATCCTGTCCTCCACTTGCCACACCGAAGGTAGGGTGGCACACACAGGGGGGCTTCATCTGTGGGGGGTGGCATGGTTGTTTAAAGTTAGACAGGACAGCCACGGCAAGCCTTTATTTCCGGTTACAGTTTGGTCACAACCAACGAAGTGGTCTCGTTTGTGTATTTGAGTGCTAACAGATTACTGTTGGTTTGTTTATTTACATTTTAGGGTTTTTCCTGATTATTTTAGCAAACTGCAGCTTTCATTTACTGCCTTTGAATCAGCCACAGACTCACAACAAGCAGGAGTGACAGTTGAGTTGCATGACTGACCACCACCCCTTCCTCCCATCTCCTCATCACCTCGCCGATACACGCTTGGTTCTGGGACTACTCCCAGAAAAACTCACTCCCAGATGCCAAACGCTTGGCTGTTTTCCTGAAGTAACACAGAGTTAAAGTGTTTAATGTGCCCGCCATGATAGCAGCAGTGTAAACGAGGCCGGGTCGATTCATCCTGCTGATTGTGCTGTCAGATGCAGCCCATGAGGGTCCGAGTGTTTGTATAACCAGCCATTTACTAGGTCCTAATGTGGAGACTGAAGCATTGCATTATTTAGCTTTGCATGATTGCTCCCCTTCCTTCCTTCCTGTGTATGTTCTGCTCTCAGCCCCCTCCTGGCACAGGAAGTAAGATATTGTGATAAATCTGCAGGATGTGGTCATCGCCAAAGCCCATCTTAGGCCACAGAAAGGCATCTCCCATTGTCAAAGGATGGGAGCAATTTTATATATATGAACTTTTTGTTAACTTTTTATTAGTGACAGAGTTTAAGAAGTGTCAGCTCAAAAAGTGATATTTTAAAGTTTAGACCCATAAATGAAACCGTATTGTCCTCAAGCAGGTGTAAAATATGAGCTGGAAGATGAGAGATGAGGCCTGTTTTCTCTCATCCTCTCAACTGTCTCTGTCTTTAGTAACAAGGGGATGGGTGTAACAGAGGAGGCGATGGATCCAGGAACACTGAGCTCCTGTTTAGCCTCAGTAACATGATCCTGAGCTGCCCTCTGTGTGGAGACTTTAGGAAAACAGTTGTAGGCTGAAGGCAAATGTGAAAATGGCTGAGACTATGTGCTGCTGCTGCTGCTGATGATGCTGATGATGATGACACAGCAGGATGACCCTGGGAATGTGATGAGTAAAGCAGACATGTCCATCTTCTCTGCACACAATTAACTTCAGACACATGGAGTACATTTTTGGTGATTTCACAGAGACTTCTGAAGAGTGAATTTGCTGACTTGACTTGTTATCACGCTTTTTCCCTCACATGCTGGTCAGTGCATCACCATAATCCTTGTTGCTGTCCGCTGCCTCCAGCTGAGCAGAGCTCATCCCAGAAGATGAGTGTGCAGTTACCATGTTAGTGGAAAAAACATTATACTGTATAAGCCCTGGATGCTGTGTGTGTGTGTGTGTGTGTGTGTGTGTGTGTGTGTGTGTGTGTCTGCGTGTCTGTGTGTCTTCCCTTTGTTTATTTGGGCTATTAGGAAGAATAATGTTCCAGCATCATTTTGATTCACTTGGGTTCAGTCTCTAAGGGACACACACACACACACACACACACACACACACACACACACACACACACACACACACACACACACACACACACACACACACACACACACACACACACACACAAAACCAGCCTTTTGTCTGCTTTGACCAATGTGAAAGTTTCTGTTTTTATTTATTTTTTCCTTGATGTCATTTTATTTTCTTGTTTTTTGTCTGCCAGTCAGATCGTTCATGAAGGATAGATCTGAAATGATTCATCAGAGATTTTGTGTTGTGTTTCGGTCTGAATGTTAGAAATAATCACTTTACTGCTGGTTACTGGTAACATTTTTGTATACTTTACATTGTATGTTTCGTTAATAAGAATAGCAGGGAGCTTGCTGTGTGTGTGTGTGTGTGTGTGTGTGTGTGTGTGTGTGTGTGTGTGTGTCTTCTGTCATCACTTAAACAAATCATCCCATTGAGAACACGGGGTCTGTTCCCTGGTGATTCTAAGCTTTGTTATCATTTGAGCTGCTGTGTTGCTGTTAGACTGACAGATACACTCAGCTTACAACACATTCTCTATGATCGTCCTGTCCTTGAACACTGACGGGACAAACACTGTCCACATGTGTCTTACGTGGACTCGTACACACGACTGCTGTTTTAGTTTGTTCAGCTTTTCAAAAAGTTAGGCTGCAAAAACAGTTCTGGCTGTGTGCTCCACCCTGTGTCATTGCTGTCCGTTAAATGTCACATATCGAGTGTAGCAGATGCCCTTTCTGTTCAAATGTTGATGACACCATCATGCCTTCACCTGCATAGCACCATTATTTCAGCAGCCTTCACAAGCGAAGTGCAACACACACACACACACACACACACACACACACACACTGGGTCCACTGGAGTTGGTGTGTTTTGTAAAACATTTATTTAAGAAACATCCAGACACTTGTCTAATGAAGCAGTCGGTGTGACTTTATCTTTGTGTTTAGTTATGAGCCAATAGTCTAACAAGGACCGTGCTCTGATACGATCCTGTTTCCATTAAAATCCCAGCTTCTTCAGTTAACCGCTGAGTAAAAGGCATTTTATTGTTACGAATGGTCTTCATACCAGAGAACCGAGAGAATAAGGAGGTCCTTCACTCATATTTAATGCATTTGCAGTGGTCTCCAGTAGGAATGAATGCCTTGTAGGAATAAAAGCTCCGCTGCACCAGTGTCCAGCAGCCTGCTCGTCGTTATGGCGTAAGGACTGTGTAACTCTTTATGCAGGTACAGGGCCATGGAACAGCTGCTGTCTGTCTCACCACAACATGACTTGTTGTAGACATTAGGATTTATGACATTCATTTATTTGCTGTTGAAATTCTGCAGTTTAACTTTTGAAGATGGAAATTTAGCTTAATTTTAACTTAAAAATCAGTACACTGTAAAAAAATGACTGTGAATTAAACAGTAATTTACAGTGTTTCTGGAAAGTAACTCACTGTGAATGTATTTAAAGTTAAATACCATGTAATTAACAGTAATTGGTACAATACTGTATAAATCACAGTAATAAATGCAATACCGTAAAACTTCACAGCAGACCAAGTTCTAAGTCACAGTAATTGAAGAACAAAATTCTATAGCGCCTCTCAAGATAAAAATCACGAGGCGCTTCACAAAAACAAAAACTGAAAAATGTAAAAAAAGAATTTAGAAAATGGTTAAAAATATATTTAAAATTAGCAAAAAATAGACAATTGTGATTTAAAAAATGTTAAGAAAGAGAGAGAGTGAACAGGAAAGAGGGAAATCAGTGGATCCTGAGGAAGGTGGAATAGGTGGGGAGAGCAGAATAAAGAGAGAGTGGTGAAGAAGGTCATACAAAAGCCAGCTTGAACAAGTGAGTCTTCAGCTGCTTTTTAAAGGAGACCACTGAGTCCACTGATCTCAGGCTCAGGGGGAGAGAGTTCCAGAGTCTGGGGGCCACAGCTGCAGATGATCTGTCACCTTTGGTCTTTAGCCTGGTGCTGCACAACCAGTAGGCTTTGATCACTGGACCTCAGGGACCTGCTGGGGGTGTAGGGACTAAGAAGATCACCAATGTAAGATGGTGCTTGTCCATGTAAGGCCCTATAGACCAGAACCAGGATCTTGAAATGAACCCTGAAGTTGACTGGCAGCCAGTGAAGCTGGAGGAGAAGCGGGGTGATGTGGGTGTGTTTGGAGGACTTGGTCAGAAGTCGAGCACAGGCGTTCTGAACCACCTGTAGACGGTTCAGGGAGGTTCTGCTCAGACACGTGAAAAGAGAGTTACAGTAGTCTAAGCGTGAGGAGATGAAGGTGTGGAGAACCGTCTCAAGTTCAGAGCGGGACAGAATGGGACTCAGCTTAGCAATGTTCCTGAGATGGAAGAAGGAAGAGCGAACAAGAGAACTGACATGAGAATCCAGGGTGAGAGCTGGGTCAAAGGTTACGCCAAGATTCCTGACAGAAGGTTTGGTGTGGGAAGCAAGCTGACCAAGAGAGTCTCTGACTTTGGGAACCAGCTTGTCTGGGGCACAGATGAGGATCTCAGTCTTATCTTCATTCAGCTGAAGAAAGCTCCCACCATCCAGGTTTTGATAGAGTCTAAGCAGGTGTGTAACAGCTGCAGCTTAGACATCTCATGGGGCTTGAAGGAGATGTACAGATGGATGTCATCTGCATAAATGTGTAATATAATCACCACTGTAAGAAACAAAGCAAAAATTTACAGTAGAATGAAATTATTGCATAAATTATGGTAATACATGCAATACTTTATAAATTCACAGCATACCAAGTTTTACTGTAGTAAGTCATAGTAATATCATCACCACTGTAAAAAACAAAACAAGACTTTACAGTGTACATCATTTCACAGAATAAATATTCAATGTCATGCATTCAATGTGTAAAAACGTCCCATTCTGATGAGACTCTATTTCTTCCATAGCGGGTAATTCCTTGTGGAAATGCACTTTCTGCTCTGTGTGTTTTTGCTTCTTTGGTGCTGTTGAAGCTTTCCCCTCTGGTGACGTTCCACCGTAGTTCACCCATACGAAACCATCAGGTAGTTCACCTCAATGAGAAGACGGGACTTGGGTGAGGAATGCAAACAAAATGTCATGTCGAGGCTAAACAAATAGTACGTCAAGAGTGAGCTCAGTAGTGTTTATGTTTAAACATTAGCCGGTTTCCAGCCTTCATTTGGCACGGACTCCGGGGCTTCAAGGTGAAACAGATAAATCTGGAATAAAAGAAGACCCTGGTTGTTTGAGTTGGTAAAACGAGGCTGAAACATGCAGACGGACGAACTCTTTCTTTCCTTTGAGGCAGATATCGACACGATGTTCTGGTTCGCGGTGAGAAGAAAACACAGTGGCTTATCAGAGTTGTTCTCACACAGCGCTCGCTCACAATCTCACTTTACCACAAACACTTCCTGCCAGGTTTCCACATGAACACCAGCAAGGAGGCGAGGCTCACAGGAGCTAGAGTGTCGTTCCAGAGAAGTAAAAACACACAAATAAAAAAACAACACTGAGCCGTCTTCTCCTTCCTGTCGTTGTCGTTTTTACACAGAATTCTTTCAACTCTGGCCTGTAACCTTCTGGCAGCCTGTAGGGGGTTTGAACCCAATCTGTTCACCTCGGTTGGGAGCCAGACACGGCGACTCTCTATCAAACCGGACTGCTCTTTGCTCTGGTTGACAAGGCTGCAGGAGGGACATGGCTGCTATTTGGATTCAGAGTAAACATCTGGATGGACTTCCTCCTTTTCCCTCCATCTCCCTCTATGCCTTCCTGTCTCTGGCTTTACAGAAGGGCCTGCTTGATGGGAAAAGTGGGACAGATTGGTGGAATAAAATCACATCGTTAAATCCTGTTTATGCTATCGTCCTTATTTCCTGTGCTTTGGGTTTATATGGTCAGAGTTTGGGTTTAGTCGTGTTTAAGGTTTCCTTTGGATAAAGATTACTCAGGCTGAGTGTCGGACTTGCCCAGGTGACATCCGGGCTCATTTTGTTTGTACCTCTTAAAGTTGTGTGAAACTGGACACACTGTTAGGATGGAACTTTAATGAGGTCATGCAGCAGCAAAGAGAAGGATGTTTACCTGATTAGAACAACAATGATTCAGCAAACGATTCAACAAATAATGCTTGTCTTGCCCAAGGACACAAAGACTGACATGACTGAGCGAGACACGAGCCTGCAACCCTCCGGTTACTTGACTTATCTGCCTTTGTCACCACCTCACTTATAAGCATAACTTTTCCATTCGCTAATAGGACCATCTGGAGAGTGTGAGGTGTGTGTGTGTGTGTGTGTGTCATAACAGCAGAAAATAAAGGCTTTTTTCTTTTCTTTTTACATGTCATATGTTACCGGTGTGTTTTGCCTTTGTTCTACCATCTTCCATCTTTGCTTGTGCTGCCTCAGTCAAACTAAACCTTATGATGCATGAGTCTATTCAACCCTGACTCGCTCTCCGCCTTCAAATCTGGCCTACTGCCTGTGACAGCTGCACTGCTTTTACTATCTAGTTTGTACTTTTTACTGTTTCAAGTCTCTAAAGATCTGTGTGTGTGTGTGTGTGTCTAGATTTGTGTGTGTGTATCTAAATTTGTGTGTGTGCATCTAGATGTGTGTGTGTGTATCTAAATTTGTGTGTGTGTGTGTGTGTGTGTGTGTGTATCTAGATTTGTGTGTGTGTAACTAAAGATTTGTGTGTGTGCATCTAGATGTGTGTGTGTGTATCTAGATTTGTGTGTGTGTATCTAAATTTGTGTGTGTGCATCTAGATGTGTGTGTGTGTATCTAAATTTGTGTGTGTGTGTGTGTGTATCTAGATTTGTGTGTGTGTAACTAAAGATTTGTGTGTGTGTAACTAAAGATTTGTGTGTGTGCATCTAGATGTGTGTGTGTGTATCTAGATTTGTGTGTGTGTGTGTGCATCTAGATGTGTGTGTATCTAAATTTGTGTGTGTGTGTGTGTGTGTGTTTCTAGATGTGTGTGTGTGTATCTAAATTTGTGTGTGTGTGTGTTTCTAGATTTGTGTGTGTGTAACTAAAGATTTGTAACTTGTGTTTACATTTTCGTGTGTAACTTCAGTTCTTACACATACAAATCATTGAGTACACACACACAAATCACCTGGTAAACACGGACAAAACCACAGTACACACAGATCAGTTTACAAGTACAAAAATTCTTTTGAGACTCTTTTCTCACCTGACTGATTTGTGCGTGCATGGTGCGTTTGAATGCTGGGTGGAAGCTGGGATATTTGAATTTCCTTTGGATTTAGTCTAAACTTGTGTTGACGGGACAAATATGTTTTTCTGTGGAAAAATCTAGTATCTCAGGATCCTGTAGTTATAAAAGATAGACCAATATTTAATTTTTTATCATCTAAAATTGTTTATTTAAACAAATGTGTTTCTCAAATTTGAGTTAGGGGATTTGGATACATATTGTTTTTTAATAAAAATGAATAAAGGAGCAATGCATCATCACAGGCTAAACTCTCCCAGAGTTACCACACTGGTGTGCCACCCAACATTTTCTTTGGCACTGTCTGGCCGCCCGTATCAACATTTTCTGAGGGGTATTCCCCGTTTGTTTGTAAGCCCCTAAACCAGGGGCGTCGGACTGGGGGGGGAAAGGGTACCGTTTACCCAGGGCCCACTGCAGGGAGGGGCCCTGAGACAGCTTTGAATAAAAATGTTTTATTGTTGTTGTTTTCCCCCCCAACTTACTTAATGTCTTAATAAACGTCCCTTTACCTGGATAAAGAGGTTAAGAAACAGAATTTTGCCTTAAAAATAATAACTGAATAATCTCTGAGGCATCTATCACCCCTTAAAAATGAGCTAAGTGGTTTAGTCCACACCAGCGGCCAGGGGCTGCACAGCCGCATGTACAGCTAATGAGACATCGCAGATGCCGACAGCCAGAGCTGGAGGCAGGAGAGTCAGTCATGTCTTTTCCCAAGAAAGGGAAATCTGGCTTCCAGAAAATAAAAGAAAAGAAGGAGAAAAAGTTAATTGAACAGAAGCAAGTATTGACTAGGTTTTTCAAGAAGGAAGGTGAGCAGCAGCAGAACACAGTTTTAGCTGATATTAGCTAGCTCTCAGAAGCTGCATTCATGTTAGGTGTTCAGTGTTAAACGCCTTCAGTTTCACCATCAAGATCAAATATAAATTAATTAGTGTTATCAGTGATAACACTAATTAGTTTATATATATATTAATCAGAATTATTATCACGGGCGGCCGCCGCCAATTAATTCGCGGACCTCGCAGTAAAAACAGGTTCACTCTGTGTGGATATTTCAGCTCCTTCCCAGTCATGGACCAGGACAAACTTGGTATCGATGGATTCGTGGTAATCTCAGGAATGAGAAGCTGCCACTGTTTTTCATATAGCATGATGACACTGGTGTTAGAGGATTGTTATTGACTTGGTTAGATATTTTATGAGACATCGCAGATGCCGACAGCCAGAGCTGGAGGCAAGAGAGTCAGTCATGTCTTTTCCCAAGAAAGGGAAATCTGACTTCCAGAAAAGAAAAGAAGGAGAAGGAGAAAAAGTTAATTGAACAGAAGCAAGTATTGACTAGGTTTTTCAAGAAGGAAGGTGAGCAGCAGCAGAACACAGTTTTAGCTGATATTAGCTAGCTCTCAGAAGCTGCATTCATGTCAGGTGTTCAGTGTTAAACGCCTTTAGTTTCACCATCAAGATCAAATATAAATTAATTAGTGTTATCAGTGAAAACGCTAATTAATTAATATATATATATTAATCAGAATTATTATCGCGGGCGACCGCAGCCAATTAATTCGCGGACCTCGCAGTAAAAACAGGTTCATCTGTGTGGATATTTCAGCTCCTTCCCAGTCATGGACCAGGACAAACTTGGTATCGATGGATTCGTGGTAATCTCAGGAATGAGAAGCTGCCACTGTTTTTCATATAGCATGATGACACTGGTGTTAGAGGATTGTTATTGACTTGGTTAGATATTTTAAGCCTATTTTAAATTTCTTTATATTTGATCTTGAAAACGGACAATCTTATCATTTGGCTGATAATGCAGGGATTATAAAATTTAGAGTACATTACATTCACAGAGAGAACCTGGTTTATTTCATGTCATATGTATTTAATATATCAATATATATCAGCAAAGCTTAACATCATGAACCACATGGCCCTTTAGACGCAGTAGCAGCAGCAGCTGCAGCAGGGCCCTCATTGTCTCCAGAAAGCACTGAAGAGATGAGACAAGGTGAGCTCACTCAGGGGCGGCGTTAGGCCCGGCTAATTGGGCTGAAGCCCCGGATGTTTTATTTTTATTTTTTATTTTTATTTTTTTACCGTGTCCTGTCTGGCTGTGAAGCAAGCAGAATTGATGTCTGAATGCTGGTGACAAGCCTTACAGATTTATTCTCAGGTGGAGCATCAAAGCGTCTGCTTTTAATGTCACGCCTGATACTTAAAACTTTATTGTTATTGTTGTTGAATGCATTGTAATTCCGACCAGACACGGAGACAGAGGTGAAAGAGAAAGGAAAAGAAAAGGTGGGGAGAGAGAGGAGGGGGGGGGGGGGTCCACAAAAATAAACAATGAACAAGAGTCTGCTTCTAAACCTGCAGAAAAAGACAAAAAATAAAAAAGGGACACAACAACAATACAACAAGATCTAGCTATCACTGCATCAACTTGATGAAGAAAATATGTAATCAACATTGCTTAACTGAAGAATCACGATAATAAATCACAGTGCATTAAGTGCCCACCATAGTCTTAAGACCTGTGTTTAACGTTCCCAAGCCCATACTTTTGAGAGCACCATGTGAGCACCTGTGTGTGTACACGCACTTGTTTATGTAAGGTTTCTCTATAGGAGCGTCAAATAGAGAGTGTGAGGGGCACAGATCCGCCCCCCCAAAGATGCGCAGGAGACGGGGGGAGCTCCAAGTCCCAGAGATCCAGGCGCTGCCCCAGAACACAGGAACCCCAAGGAGACTGCAACCAGGAAGACCATGGCACAACCCCTCACACCAGGTGTGGCAGGGGGAGGGGGGACAAAGATCTATATCGTCAAGAGAGGTTCCAGGAGAGGGGAGGAGTCAAAGGCCCCACCTGACATATACAATCATACACAAACACAGTCACACACTCCCTCCCTCATGCTCACACATGCACATACAACCCAAGACTTACAAAAATGCACGCCGGACACCGACTCATGCTCCCCATACACACCCTATTCACTCTGGTCCCGGTACTGCTGCACATTGGGTACAACCATCACCAGTAACCAGAGTTTGACCCTTTCTGCTGGGGTGCTGATGAGCAGGCTCCCCCACCCAACGCTGAGCACAGCAACCCACCACCCCAAACCCCAACCAGACGGCCAGATCTCCCTCCTAGCCTCCAGCCCCAGGAGGCCTAGCAACAACAGAGGTGGCTAAGACCCCTAGTCTCCCTCCGCCTGCTCCAATATAGTGTTGTGTGATCATGAGGTGTATTCCATGGCTGTGGTGAGTGGGCAATGCGGGCATCATCCGGCCTATGCCAGCTGGTGCCACTGCACCACCCCACTTACACCCTCAGCCATCAGTGTCTAAGTGCGGTTTAAAATTGGAAGTGGGCACCGGCACCCGGGAGGAGGCTGAGATATCCCCCTGCCAAATGCCGTTGAATGTGCTCACTCCCAAGGCCCTAAGTGTGTGTTTGTGTGGAATGTCGTCAGTGGAAGTGTATAAGGTGCAAATAAAATTGGGGGGCAGGTTGCCACAGGGGTCCATACCCGTACTCCCTGACTTGCCCACCCCCCAAGGTCCTATGTGTATGTTTGTGTGATGATGTGAGGGAGCAGGAGGAGATAAATATGCGGGGATGGGGAGGAATGGCTGGCTGGGCTTAGCCCTCCAGGGAGCCAGCTCCCCTACTGGCCCCAATAGGCACCTCTGTTGTCAAACTGCCACCCAGGGCATGGAGACCCCAGCCCATCCTGCCAGGGCCCAAAGCAGCAGCATTACAGAGCCTCACGGAGTCCGAGGGCACCAACCCAGCCCCACCCCAGCAGAATATCTATGCCCATCCCTGCATTTGCACAACTTCCAGAATATATAAGACATGCGACATCCAGGTAAGG